GGTTAAATCGCAGAATGAGCGAAAGAGGGCAGTGCGCGCGTCGGCAGTCGTTTGGGCCCACCGTGCGGCCCCGGAACCCCCAGGCCGGCGATTACCGCTCGTTAGTTGCGGCTCGCGCCCGCGCCCGCGCTCGCGTCGGCGCCGCTAGCGTACGCAGCTTACGCTACCCCCCACACCCACTCCCCGACCACTCCGCCCACCAATTTTATGCTCCCGCCCGCGTCCGCCCTCCGCGTTTCGGGGAGACGGATCTCAAGTGACTGCCTGGGCCTACGGCTGACGCGCTCCTGGATCATCTGCACTGTTCAGTAATTGGGCAGTATCTCTTCAGCACAACTCGCATGCAGTTTATTGTTTGCGATCCCCTAATACATTTAATATTCTGATGCTATTTATTATTATTATTATTATTAACCTTTTTTCGGAAATATATGAAGTTAATGTATTCCCGCAAGCCCAATAAACCGTAGGTAGATTGTTCTACTATTAGCCACAAATCGTTTTTACTGTTCTTTGACAAAATAAAGCAAGTCGAATCGCTTAATATAGTTCCAACTACTTTGGAACACTTTTATAAAAACGCAATACAAAATTTTAGAGTATCAATTTTATTTCACAAGCACCTATGAATTTAACCATAGTTTTGACAGTCTTCTAAATGATAATACACACTTACATTTATTATTATTATTATTATTATTATTATTATTATTATTATTATTATTATTATCATTATTATTATTATTTATGTAACAGATTATTCAGGTGCATTTATTTTCAGTATTACACGAAATATACAATTGAAGTGTGTGTACTATTGGTCGCTATTTTGAAACGGTTGGAAATTTTGCAATTCGCCCCACTCGCATTTTGAATAGAGCATCTAAACAAAACTGACCAGTGCAATTTGGCATTTGAAGACTCTAGAGAGTTGTACAGGTAATTACGCGTATCTTATGAGTGTAAAAAAGCCACGTAGGACTAAAATTTGGGATTTTTTTCGCAATTTTAGTCCTAGTCCATTTCTTAGAAAAAGATCCGGTAACAATAGCGACGAATGTTTAGTGCGGCATCGCAACTTGGCGAACGTTTATCGACGTTTTGAGTCGATAGCCACGTACCTCACGTTTATCGACGTGAGCGTCGTTCAGCCCTAATTCCAGCGATGCTTATTATTTATCCATAAAAAAACTCAAATGTAGTCCAAAGTGTAGCCATGAATCATGCAGACGCAAGGAATGTGTACACAATCTGTTAATGACAAATCAATTCTAAGTACTAATCAAGTAATCGAAGACAAATACCTTTTGTTTAAGTACCCTGAAAATCCATTTCTACAAATTATGTATAGATATAAATAGATGGAATGTATAAATAGATAGCGTAGAAATGAATTTTGAAAATGAGAATCAGACCTCGTGGATGTGGTTAGCCTTCGCACCAAATGAACTTCATTATTGCACTGCTATTTTTACGTGCGAGTACCGTGACAACATATCCACCTCATGGAATGCTACAAACGAATTTACTGTTGACTTTTCCATTTACATCGTCTTTTTCCTAACGTTGTTAGCTCCGCACTTACGCCTTTCCTAATGTGACCACACATACCACAGCGTTAGTTACCACCTCATATGTAGAATTCGCGTGACTCTGAAGGGAATGACATGTTCCCTGATAGGCGGAAAGGGGACTTAGAGACACCTGCAGACCACAGAATTACATCTCCCCTCCCACACCTTATCAAAGGGGCACACATCGCGAAACCACAACCAGAAGCAGTGTGGAACTTCTGTAGACGTCTAGTCAGTGGTTCTCGAGGTTCAGAACAAGACGACTTCTGCCGTGCTTTGTTTTATTTCCTTTCCTCTTCGTCGAATTGTGTGATTAATCTGATGAAGAAGCCGGTTCCTCTGGCTAGGCGAATGCCGGAGCAGTATTCTAGCAAACGGGCCACGGATCGTACTCGATATTTCCTTCCTCTTCCTTGTCCCAACCTTACCCCTTACTTACACACACGTACACTTACAAGAACTACATTACCTTACCACACATGCCAGGAGACCGGTCGGGAACTTATTGCCTGTGCCAGCTGAGGCGGTGTCTCGCTGGTGGGAGGTACCTGGTCGGGGAAAACCTTGCTAGCCGACGGTAGGATGTTGCTGGATCTTGCCGTCCAGCGGGGGACGACCACCGCCATCTCCGGAGGAAAAACATGCACTACTCTTAAGGACTAATCCTAGCAGTTGGTGCGCCCGAAATCCCTAACAATGAATCAATCAATCAATTCTGTAGTCGCCTAGTGTGTGGTTCACGAGGTTCAGAACAAGACGACTTCTGCCGTGCTTTGTTTTCTCTCCGTTCCTCTTCGTCGAATTGTGTGATTAATCTGATGATGAAACCGGTCGGATTTCCGACTAATGGTTTCCGAAGAGAGCGTGGAAAATCTCGGGGTCTACCCGCCGACCTTGGGCCGGTCGTTGCAACTACTGCAGTACGATGCAGAACAGCGCCTTTTTTCTCGTGTTAATCAGAAGGTAGTAAGCCTCCGCAGGCGCCACAACATACGCAGTTCCGAGTCGGTAAATGAAACTTCGGAGAGAGGAATTTTCCAGACTCGAGTCACAACGGGAGGGGGACTGGGAGACGGACAGAGAAAGAGAGAGAGAGAGAGAGAGAGATGAAGAGAGAGAGGCAGAGAGACAGAGGCAGAGAGAGAGAGGCAGAGAGAGAGAGGCAGAGAGAGAGGAAGAGAGAGAGGCAGAGAGAGAGAGGCAGAGAGAGAGAGGCAGAGAGAGAGAGGCAGAGAGAGAGAGTGGATGAGAGAGAGGCAGAGAGAGGGAGGCAGAGAGGGAGGCAGAGAGAGAGTGGATGAGAGAGAGGCAGAGAGAGAGAGGCAGAGAGGGAGGCAGAGAGAGAGAGGCAAAGAGAAAGACAGGGAGAGAGAGACAGGCAGAGAGAGAGAGAGAGAGAGAGAGAGAGAGACAGACAGACAGACAGACAAACAGACAGGACTCCTATACATATAGATGGACTGGAGAAAAGAAAGATACGCTCAAAGACAGGCGAGCACAGACAAGGGACAGACACAAAGAAAGAGAAATAGAAGCAGACAGAGATACGGATGGACTGTAAGAAAATTCCTCATGAGGTTACTAAACGTGACAGGGTTGGCCGGCTTTCTTAAGCACCCTCTTCCTTTCGTTAACCGGCCTTCTTTTACGTACGTCTTTGTAGCATCGCGTGCCGTACGTCTGTTAAGTCTCTGCTGAACACGTTATGCGGTAGGTTTTTCTTTACATTTCTTCGGTGATGATTACCAGTCTCATGTGCATAACGATCGGCAACTTTGCATTCGACAATTTAATGTCGTTGCTCGGCATCACACGGGTCGTCTACGAACGTATCTCGAGGAGAAAAATAGATTACATTTCGTTCTGTAATTGCGTTCCTAGTAGCACAGATGATGGTATCTCGTTGTTTGTAATGACGTCAAATTCCGTGTACTAATATCACTTAATGTAGTTATGAGGAGTTGCTTTGCTCCGGTAGATATTGCGTTTTTAATGTGGTGAAGAACATTATTATGATTTTCTTTCTCAAGGCCGACGATAGTGTTAACAGTTAAGCAAATGTATTATCAACTTTTATTCAAGTTTTTTTTCAATACTGAAGGTGTTTTCTTACACATTCCGTCAGTATGAAGTTGGGCGATTTTCTTGAATATACTTAATACCCTTTTATCGCCCATCATACATTGTTCCTCCTGGCCCTTTTAATAAATTTCCTGCTCCTTGATTTTTGAAATTCGTTATTAACCTTACAGAACTTTTTTATAATACTTCATCAAAGATATTCTGAGAAGTTTAGTTGCCAATACTTTAGCCAGGTACAATGACTTTTACAATAAGGTTGAGCACTAAAAATTCATTTTTTCACTTAAATATTTTTGATTTTACATTAATATAGTTCGTATAACGATTAGTACTTATGGTAAAAACCTGAATTCTTGTTCACCGACTGATATGTCTACGGAAATTTAGTTACATTTACTTTTATGGAGGAGTATGCTGACGTTCAATTTACTCGTTACAAAATTAATTTCAGAAGATTCACTCTTTATTAAAATATTTATTCTTAGAATCCTCGGAAAAGTGACATCCTCGTAACTGTTCCCCGAAAAACGTAATTGAAAATTAATTGAAATATACACATTTTCCCCTGAGATTCGCTGTACACGGAAATTGGCAGCATTTAAAAAAATGCAAATAATACAACGTTTTGCAGTATTGTTAAAGTATTCACCATTGAAACGACAAAAGTTTGCCAATTTTACCCCCCCCCCTTGAGCAGGGGAGTACCTTAAGAAATATCTTTAACCAAATGCTAATAGTGAACGGAAGACAACATGGAGCTTTGTTGTAAACTTTTGACAGCAGGAAATTTTAGTTATTGTATAACAGAAGCAATGAATTTGGAGACGAGCTGCAGATTTACGTTAATACTTCTGCAGACGAAATAACTAACTCTAATCGATTCAAGTACAATGAGAGGTCAACAAAACATGCGCAGGCAGTACCTGGACAAGTAAAATGCCACAATAATCCCGGAACTTAACTCAAACCTGTACCGATCCCGTGTAGAGACCGGACAAGGATGAGGATTGACTCGGGAGGAATGCAGGAGATTGTCCCCCCTTCGAGATATCGATCCCCTTTCTGAGAAAGTTTTAAATTTAACAAGAGACACAATTCATCTATTTACAGGGGCCTCCTTCATGATTCAACTTTGAAATGTTCAAATCAAGGAATCTAAATTCTGGAAACTGGAAAAGAAAATGTTCCCAACCACATTTTTAGGATAAACTGAAAATGTGCTTCGAAATTGGCCTCCGTTTTTTTCCAGAATCTATAGATTCGTCCTGAATGTAGTGTTGACAGTCTCCCAACGAAGGAAATGGCCGTTTGACAGCGTGGGGCCGTAGCATAAAGGTACTTACGTGTCTTGGATCTGGGCTCGCGCGGGCCGTCCACGGTGACCTTAATGGCCTTGGAGTAGGTGGCCACTTGCGGCGGTGACGTGTTGACGGTGATGGTCAGCGTGAAGCTCTTGCCTGCAACAGACGACGTCGCGCGTCAATGGGACGTCCATCGGAATGTCACTCGTCGACTCGCTCGACTGTGTCATCGAAATGACAACTGGTCGATATTAGTAGCAGCTTCAGCTCGTAGCCTAGCACCCACCTGGCGTTTACTTACTTACTTTTTATTTATTTTCAAGAGTTTTCAATTTTTCAATTATGTAATTATTGAATTTTGTAATTTTTCAATTTTATTTCAGAAGTAATAAATACAACTTTTAGTAGGATTAACAATAAATCCTAAATGATTAAAAATACAATTCATAGTAATATTTATTGGAGTTAATTAAACATTTTTTCAAAAACATTATAACAGAAAATTCTACAGGAGACAATGTCTTTGCGTAGACCTCAATACTCATTCATTATTATTTTAATTTATTTATTTGTTTAAATCTATTTTTATTATCATTTATTTAATGTCAAACGACAGTTACAAATTGTACGTGACGTATGCTAGCGAGATACACCTTGTTGTCGTATCTTTTGAGCTCCGGATTTTTTAGTCCCTACTCTTTTACTACATTTAAATGAATTACGAATAAAAGCAACTACGAGTGATTTTGGAAAAAAATATTATAACAATAAATATTCTCCCCCGTGTAGTAGAAACTATGAGAACAGTCAAACGAGGTCTAGTACATTAGGTACGTCTCCCTTTTCGTGCTTCACGTGCACGAATCGACTTACATACTTCGAGAACATTAACGATATTCTGGTGGTGCTGTTGACGAAATAAATAAAATTCTCCACTTACATCCTACAGAACTTAACAACACGTGTGCAGATACTGAAACAATGGGGGGGCTTTGTGCATTTGCTCAATAGATCAAGGGACGCTGAACCAAAATTCTGTTGGAGGTGGGTGTTCAAAAACCATCGTTTTCAGATTTTACATTCTGTTTGAAGTAACTATTAACATCAATTTTATTAACAGTAGATTTTGTTCAATAAATTACGTGACATTTTATACATTTAGAACAATGTATTGTTCACATCCAAAGGATTAATTATGTTTTTGGAAAAGGACAGGATCGTTTGTTGGAACAACCTTAACCTTGTTTACATTCACTTGTGCTGACAAATTGATGTGACGGGAAAATACGCATTTCGATTGTTTTCGTCTTGTGATTCACTTCTCTATGTTTCGTTTCTTCGATGTGTTGTCGTTTTGTAATAGTTCGATGGCATTATTGTTGTCAACAATTAATTGTAAATGTGCCAGAGACAAATGCCAAATTTGACATTAAATCTTTACAAAATATTGTTTACATCGAAATATTTTTTTTCTAGAAAGAAGTTGGTTAGGTTGTTTGATCTGCTACAATCTTGTCACAAGTTCTCATTGACACAATATCGCGCTATGATTGGGAAGAACACGTCTGTGACTAGAAAATTAACAACCGTGTCGGAGATGTCTCGTATGTATGTCATCACTGTCGTCGTAAGAGACTACACAAGAAAATAACCTCAATAAGCGTTGTAACCGGTTGTTGAATGTAAAGATACGGTAATGGTTATTTAATTGCATACTCGTACAAATTATCTGCATGCTTCACATTTCTGATAGAATTATCGTAATTGAAATGACAGAGCTTACAAGGAAATTTATATTTCTTATGAGAATAAAAGTAAACAAAGGACTAATACTTGACAAGATACAATATTTCGATCAAAGAAAATTAATGCAGTCTATGGAGAAAGGAGAACACTCCTAAATGCTGTTCTGACAAAAATCGCTTCAAAAGTTCTCATTTGTTATTAATCTGATTTCGGATTTATTTATTTGAAGTTTACAAATCATACCATTACTACTAATTCCAAAGCTTTATTTTTGTGGAGTAGGCCCATACGCACCTTTTCTACAGAGATACTTAATGGTTTCTATTACTTCTGTAACACTAAAATATGAATTTTTAGTGATACTGTGAAAAACTCTTGTGATTAAGACCTTCAAGAATTACGGATGTACATTGAAGCAAATACATCATGAATAAATTTGTTATTTCATGAATCCAGAAAATCTATTAAATAGAAAATGAGATTGTTTGCAATTGAAGCAATTTCTACTACGCCTATCATTATCAAATTTTGAACTGAATATCCCAGTTGAACATGATATGTTTGACGAAATTATAATTTATGTGATATTTAAGGGAAAATGCATATTAAATCATTTGATTAACAAAATCAACGTATTCCATTACATATTCAAAATGCTATTGGCTGAAGCAATACCGTTCAACTCTTTTGCGAAAAATATCAAATTCGTATTTAAAGCTACAACAGCATTCTCGGCGCTTTAACGCAGCTCGCAGTACCCATCTACCGAACAAATTTTTAAACGCCATTTAAATTTCTGTCTTCGACCGTACCATGCAATGATTATAACGAGCCCAATGTTATTCCCTGAGCATCATAAACTGAACCGCGGTTACTGCTCTCTAAGTACTGCACTCGGGTGTCGAGTTGTCCACGGGGCCCCAAGCTGCAGTTTTCACTCGTCCCCCCCCCCCTTCCCCGCGACCCCCCTCGATATCCCGAGGGGGTCGCGAACCCTGTGTCCAGTTCAGCGCGGGGTACGTTAAAATATTAATATGGAAGATGAATAATGCACAAGGAACTTCATGTTTATTTTAGCGCGCGAAGCGATTTCCCGCCCTGCCGCAGTGCAGCGCTAGCGTCGGCCCAAATCGACGCGGTTTTGTCGCGCAGCGCTCCGTTCTTGCAAAGTTTATCGTGAGGGGTGGGTAGTTTTACGCGATGTGTTCGTCATTATCCACTAGGTTCGCTGCGGACGTGTGACTGGCACGTATGAGCACATATGCATGTATGAGCCCCGCTTACCGAACAGATTGAGAGGGCTGGCTCGTACGGTCAAGCCTCGGTGATTGTGTCTGGTATTTCGTGCAGAAAGTAACGACGTTTATTACTTACAATCTCAAAAATTACTATTATTAATTATATTATTTTTGGAAATGTACCAAACAAAAATGTCTCTGATGAATACTAAAATAATTACTGAATTTACGTATATCGCAGACGGGTTAATTTGTTTTCACCCCCTTGCCATTCACCTCAATAAAACTGAAATGTAGTATATTATTACTCATTTGTTTCATTCACTCGTGTCGCTCCCACGGCTCCTTGGTGACCAAAAGCTTCTCTTTGGAGAATAAAATCTTATTTTGTTCTCTAGTGATCACAGTGATTTTTTCAAGTGGTGATTGTATAGATGGGATTCTACAATCATGAAATCCACGAAGTCTGGGAAATATGATCTAGATTAGCAAACTTTAAACTTTTATATTTATTTCAATATTTTGTATCTTACACTGTTCGTAACGAAGTATTATATCTTTTCTGCTCTATGCTCAGTGCCCTCACATCCCTTATTTTAATGTAAAAAACGGTTTTGTAATAAATAAAAAATACAAAAACATTTTTCCCTTTTATTTACACACTTTCTTTTAGTGGATCCTGCACGGTTCTTCTACAAAGCAGCTTCAGATGTTTTTCAAACAGATGAGATCATTTTCACTAGACATTCCAGTACCAAATAAAGCCAAGTCGATATTCTGTTCTAACGGACGTTTGTTCTCGACTAGTCCACACCCTAACGGCTTGAACGACCCCCTCGAGACACGAACACACACCCAATCTCTTCGCAGAAGTCGCCGCCTTACTCAGTGCGAAGACGTGCAACAGCTGCGATCAACGGAGAGGCAGCGCGGTGACTCAAGCCGCTGATCCTTGTCGCGCCGGAAGACGAGCCCGGGCCCAGTGTCGGGTTCCTCGCAGCGCAGTCAACACTTCGTTGGACTCGGACGCCCCGCCGCGCCGCCGCTCGGGATGGGACGCGAAAGAGCGGGTTGATGGAAGCAATTAGCGGGGGAACGAAGTGTAGTCAAGGTCCTGGCTGGACTTCTCTCTTTCCAAATGGGCTGAATGGCGTCAAGGCTACAGGGGTTTGCGAAGATCACTCATTGCCGAAGTGGGTGATTTCACCTTTTGATGGAAGAAATTAAGAGTGATGGATTGTAGATTCTGGTACTGTGATGTTTTCAATCCAATAATATTTTAGTAATTATTTTAAAAAGATTCTCAATCATAACATGCAGGTTGTAAATTCAGTTATTATGTCATGCATTAGTTTAAGTGTTGGCAGAAAATAACAAACGTTGATAGAAGCAATTAGCGAGGAAAATATTATATATTAAATATTAAAGGACGTTGCTGAACTTTTCACATTCCAAACGAGCTGAATGGAATCGAGGCTAATTATAGTGGTTCGAGAAGTTGTAGACCAGTCGTTTCCGAAGTTGGCAATTGCGCCCTCTGGTGGAAGAAATCGATAGTAAAGATTGTAGTTTTTGGAGCTTTGATGGGAGAACGTTAAAATAAAAATAGAGTAAGAAAAGGTATGAGAGAACTAACAAAGTTTAAAAAATCTTTCTATGGACATTACAATACAGACACAATGTCTCCAATAAAATAGCTTTTTGGCGTTTATTTTCAAAAGGTTCTCAATTACATTCAGATTACAAACTCAGTGAATATGTAATGTATTAGTTAAAGATTTGGAAAAAGTAAACGTTTTTTGAAGAAATAAAATTTACTAGAACACTTGGCCAATGATATAAGATATGTAAAACGTAATTTATTTCTGGTAAAGTTGAAAGCGTAAATATAAGAAGAATACTTACAATATTTTAAGATAAATTAATTTCATCGGTTTGACTTGCTCGCCGTCAAAAAAAGTAAAAAGTCGTGACATATGCGGGAGAAATATAATCTTCGCACGTTTTCTTGATTACCCACTCTTTTACTATACGAGTAGTTGAATGATGATTAGATGTCAACAAAGCGTCGTTAGCAACATTTCACAAAGAAAAATCTGATTATTAATAAAAGTCTAGTCGGAATGGCAATTTATAACTTAACAGCTGCTCAGGTAATTTAGGAAAAATGCATAATTTCCCGGAGAATACGCGTTCACTCAGACAGAAAATCAACTAACATTATGCGAAATACAATATATCATCATTTATGAATGCTAATGAGCAGGAGCCACTATAATAACACAATTACCTGGATATGACTTCCTTATTATTCTGCAGTGGCCATTTCTTCCAAGGCAATTGTGCATTGCGTAAGATACATGTGTGGCGTCGTTCATAGTTGCATCACGTATGTCACCATTTTCCTCCGTACTAGGCAAGCTGTTAGAAGAAATGTTAGAATAGTGTGACAAGCACCTAACACCAGAATTTGATCCTTTTCCTTCAACATAATATTTATTTCGGAGGTCGATGCAAATTATTTTTTCAATAACACTCATTCATTTTGCCTCTGAAAGTTATCTGGTGTGATTTATATTTCAAGGTTGCATGAAATCGCACTGACAATTTTGAAACTATTTAATACTATTCTAGTCAATTATGTACAATGCTCATAATTATATAAGACAAAAATTGTAATTTGGTTTGAGTTACGATCCTGATTATTCAAAGAGATAGCGAATGAGAGAAAGAAAGGGAAAGAGGGAGAGAGAGAGAGAGAGAGAGAGAGAGAGAAAGAAAGAGAGAGAGAGAGAGAGAAAGAGAAAGAGAGAAAGAGAACGAGGGAGAGAAAGAAATATATAAAAATAAAGAGAGAAACAGAAAGAATGAAAGAAAGAAACAGAGAGAAAGAAAGAGGTGGGGAAGAGGAGGAAAGGTAGAGGAAGGAAAGAAAACGAATAAGAGAATAGGGAAGAACAAGAAAGAGACAGGGGAAGATGGGAGAGTGCAAACCAACATATGTAATAAATGTTCAATTGCCTCTTAGTGTGAAATATACCTTCAAGTTACTACTTTTATTTTGTCGCATCTGTTTAATTTGCCCTATGTTCTGACATGCAAAAAACATTTAGGGCTTAAATTCTGTACATAGAGATTCTGTGGTAGTCTTGTCTGCGGTCGAATCGTGTTACCTACGTTTTAGTTTTCGAACATTGTTTTCGTTAACCTTTACGTGTAATATTACTATTTCTTGTGTCGGCCATCGTGTTGTAGTGACGTTGATCATATTCAACTCCCCCATCTTCAATTTTTTTTTTTACATGCAA